GTGAGAAAAAAGGACAGGACACACGCCTTGAAGAGCCAGTGCAACTGGAGTGGAGTGAAAAATAGATACCAACAGGAGACCCGGTCAGAAGGCTGGGCACAGATCAAGTGCCTAATTCTGGCTCATGGTCAGGACTTCGGATTTTCTTCTGAGGTGGGAAGTAAATATTGTGTTCTGAGGAGCACATGGTTTATGTTTAGGAGTGCAATGAAAAAAAAGCACACTGGTTAGAGGTTGTGGCAGTAATCTAGAGTTGCTGGTGGCGAGGAGGTGGACCAGATGGATCAAATTCCGGACATGCTCTGAAAGCAGAACCAAAAGGATTTTTTGGCAGACAAGATGAGAAGTGAGAGAAGAAGAGGAATCGAGGATGACTCTAAGACTTCTGACCCTTATAGGCATCCCACCAAATATTCTCAAATCTTCAGACTGCTGATATTCCCAGGAGTTTTTTTTTTTTTTTTTTTTTTGTCATTGTAAGATTTTGCTATATGGAACATGCACTTGTGTGCAAGAGAGACAGAGATCGAGAGAGAGAGAGGGTGAGAGAAAGTGCAAAATTACCCCCTGGGGGGATGGCCATACCACAGTCCCTTCGGGCACACACTCACACGCGCCCCGTGTGAGTTTAAGCCACTGGGTCTGGGACTTGAACCTTGGTCGACTACATGGGAGTTCAGCGACATAGCCATTATGCTAATTGCTGGTCCCATATTCCCAGGAGTTTAAGAAGCATTTTTAAACAATAATGCTTATAATAAACCAAGGTCTATATTAAAATGATTGTTGTATTTCTTTTTTGATTTACATGTATATGTATACACATATACATACATGTTTTTCACTCAGTATAACTTTATATGTTTCCACTTTCAAAATTATTTCTTTTACCTGAAGGATATTAAAACTGGATGTCTTAATTTATTTTTTTTTTTGAGAGGTTTTGCTATAAGGTGCATGCCCTTGGCAGAAAGACAGAGAGAGACAGACAGAAAGCTAGAAATCACCCCCCAGGACTGATGGCCATGCCACAATCCCTTCTCCTCCATTCACCACTTGGGATCTTGGACACATGCAAGTTTAAGCCACCGGGTCCGGGACTCGAACCGCGTTTTACTACATGGGAGACCAGCAATATAGCCATTACGCTAACTGCTGGTCCCTAGATGTCTTAATTTTGAGGTAAGAGATGCTAACGACTTGGGCCAGGGTGGTAGTGGGGTCTGTGGAGTGAAGTGGGTAGGGATGGTGAGAGGACAAGATTCAGGGGATAGTCTGAAGCCAGGACCGAAATGACTACCTGGCAGGCCACATGGGAAGTTCATGAGACCGGGCGGACGCCTTCGCTTGGGCTGCTACAACGAAGCACTAGGCGGCTTAGAGAGAACACGAGTTTATTTCTCACCGTTCTGGAGGCTAGGAGCTGAAATGGTGGCCGAGTGGCACCTGGTGAGGGCTCTCTCCTGGCTGCAGACTGCTGGCTTCGTGCATTCTCACACGAAGACTCTGAGCTATTTGCTCTGGCTGCTTCTTACAAGGGCACCAATCCCATTCCCGGGGCCACTTTCATGACCTAAATCCCTCCCAAAGTCCCCACTTCCTAATGCCATCACATCGGGGAGGAGATTTCAGCGTACAGAGTTTTAGGGAATGCAAACATTTGGTCCTTAATGAGGAAAAATGGAGAAAGTAAATTGTCCTGATGTGTTGATGGTAAATGGGTTTTGGTCACTACAAGAACAAAAGAATATCAGAGAATATTTTCAGTCTTATCCAGTACTGATCATCTAGAGTCTTTGCAGTGCCTGGGTGCTACAGAAATGTCAACAAGACAGGCAGAAAGCCAGGTCGCCAGCAGCTCACGTTCTCAAGGGTAGAGACAACGAAGGGGACTTCACAAAGGCTGTGGAGAAAATGGAGTTAAAGTTGAATTTGCTGTAAACCAGTTTGAAATCTACACATGGTTTTTTCATAATACACATTTTCATGAACTTCATGAAGACTGTTATCAAATGATAAGCCCTAAAGAGGGTAGGGTGGGTGGATGGAGAGTATGAGGGATTTCCAATGTACTCTGTTTTTAGAATTTGTTAAACAATCTTTGGGGTGTGTTCCTATGTCAGTTCTCTTTTTATTTATCTCTCTCATAAGAGAAAGACGCATGTATAGGCACCTCTGACAGGGTCTTCAAGCCGATCCACGCCCATCCTCCTCTGACTGGCTCATGGGTACATGTGTGCAGGGAGACCCCACACATGACCCGGGACCTCCCATGTGGGTCCAGGTGACTTTCTTTTTAACAACTTGGTATCCAGAAGCGAATTCATGTTATCAATTACTACCAGTAAATAGAAAACGGATTGCACACTCAGTAGGAGTGGTCTTCAGAAAGCTCATAGGAGGGGTCCGACGAGGTGCAGTGGCAAACACCGTGCTCCGTGAGAGACTTCCGAGTATGCCAGGCACACGGAGAGCTGGCTAAAGGCGTGTCAAGACCCGGCTGAGGAGGCTCCCTCTCGCTTATGGAATAAATAATAAATTGAAATAAAAAAGTTCATGAAAATACCAAAATATGCAGGGCTTGTGCTTTATGACCCAATCTAGGATCATATGACAAGGTCTTCAGAAGTTGCTGAACAATGTATGCTATAAAAAAATTAGGCATCGAGACCAGCAGTTAGCGTAATGGCTATGTCGCTGGACTCCCACATAGTCGGCCGCGGTTCGCGTCCTGGACCCGGTGGCTTAGAACTCACACCAGGCGCGTGTGTGTGCGTGCCCAAGATCCCAAGAGGAGAATGGAGGAGAAGGGATTGCGGCGTGGCCATCCCCCCTGGGGGGTGATTTCTCGCTTTCTGTCTCTCTGTCTCTCTCTGTCTGTCTGGCGAGCGCACGTGCCCTATAGCAAAAACCTCTACAAAAACAAACAAAAAAAATTAGGTACAGGGGCCAGATGGCGGCGTAGGGACACGGGACTGGACTCCTACATGGCTGAGTGTGATCTGAGTCCCAGACCCAGTGGCTTGAAAATCATGGTGGGCATGTGTGCATGCGTTTGTGCCCAAGATCCTAGGAGGGACCTGGAGAAGTGACTGGCATGGCCATCTCTCCTGGTGGGTGATTTCTCACTTTTCCTCTTGCTGTCTGTCTCTCCCCAGCAAGTACATGTGCCCCAAGGCAGAATTTCTACAAAAGAAAAAGAAAATTAGGCATGAATTTCAAAATTCTTTTGAACCCATATAAACGTATTCTTTAATTCTATTTTTCCTCTTGTGTGTCTGAATTATTTAGAGTAATAGAAAAGGAGAATTAAAAATGGTGCCCTTAGTAAGGGAAGGGCTCTCTGAGCACTTTGACGATGCTCCCTACAGAGATAAGAAAGTTTAACAATGAGTAATAAGCTGCACTTGCTTAAACAACAGTCATTGCAGGCACTTGGATTTAGACATCTACTTAGGATCACCTCTATTTAACCTACTCAGGTTGTCCTCATTAGGGCTTTCACTTAGAACACTATTATAGTAATCATATACTGTATTTTTAGCATCTTACATAAACTTCCCCACAAATGCCCAAGTTATATAACCAGCTCCCCCACCCCCCAGCTGCCAAGGGCTTCCCTCCAGCAACCCCTTCCAGACCTGCAGCAGGGGCAGGCAAGTGTGCGAGGGGCAGCGGTCCCCATTCAGTGACTGGACGTTCCGGCTCAGAGACTGGGTCCCCCTGCTCTGAACAGGGCTGGGCGCACACCGTCAAAATGTGTTTCTCCATCTCCTCTTCTATTTCCGTCTTCACCTTCTGCTGTTCCACTTTCATCAGGTGTCACACTGCTGTGTTACCCAGGCTGGGAGACTCTGCCTCCTCTCATTGTGTTCAAACAAACCCTAGGGCTGGGCTCCAGAGGCAGCAGGCACCTTAGAGAGTTCCAGTTCCCTCTTTTACGGATGGCAAAGGAGGCTCAGGAAAAATAGGTGACTCCTTCCCTGGCTCAGAGGCCATTAGTCAGCTCCAGATCTCTGGATTCCCCCCAGTAAAACTTGTCAACAGGCAGCTGAGCACGGCTCGGTTTTGTCGGAGACGTAAAAGGAGAGCCAGGAGATGGTGGGCTCCAGTCCCCTCCCCTTGTGAGTCCCGTCCACACATGCTGTTGGGGACGTACACGGATGACAGTTTACAGTTCACTATGCCGATGCACTGAACAGAACCTTGTCAACTAAACGGATCACGAAGAGGACATAATTCTGCTTGGCTCTTTAAACTTACATTCAGTCTTTTTTAATGAAAAGAATGTGAAGAAACAAATGTTAAGTTCATCTAGCAAAGAAAAAAGGAAGGGGGGCTCAAATACACATCTCCAGCTGACTCGGGAACAGGAAAAACACGGTTGTTATTCTTGAACAGGAGTTTACCTAACTATATCAGGCAAAGTCTTCTGGTGTGGCCGTGGGAGGGACGGGTAAGCAGGGAATGATGGTGATAAGCATTTTCCAAATTAGGAAACAGATACGCTTTTCTTCTTACTCTCTTACATAACTCATCTATTTTGGAAGACAATACTTAAAAAAAAAAGAGAGATATAAATCTCATGATTTTACTACTTTGTAAGCAAAAACGGACATGAGTGACTAATGCTGGAGGGCAGGGAGCTCGTCAGCCCCCCTGCTGCAGGCTCAGGGGCAGTTTTGCAGGATTCCCCACTCCATCCCAGTGCCCAGTGAGTCAGAGACCCAAGTCTACATTTCCAAAGATGAATGGAGAAAGATACTAATTTTTCTCTCCTCTGACTTTAAAAAGCAGTCGCGTCGCAGTGCACATCCTTTTTTGGTGGCACAGAATGACGGAAGAGTGACCTGCTACAATGCCAGTGCCTGCTTGGCCCAGACTTCCTGATTCAGAGGGAAGTCGTGCAGCACACAAAGGCCAGGGCGGCACAGCCGCTTACATAAATAAGTTACATAAATGAGAGCAAGTTATGTAAATGTATAAACCAGCAAGCATGCAGCAAGCCATTCACAAACGCCAAGGAGCGCGGCGAGGTTCCTCCCACAGTCTCGCCCCCCCTCCCCTCGCAGGATCACAATTGTGCCGTTTTATTTCACATCAGAATCAGATGTGCCTGTTTGCTGTATTTCTTAGGAAGGGCAATTCCAAGAAATGAGACTTCACGTTATTTTCTGAAGCATATATGTGTTTTAAGGGGAAATGCCGTAGTAAAACCTGATGTAAACTATATTTGAAAAGAAGCAAGATTACTTGTCCATTTATTACACTCCTTGCATAGTCATAAACACATTTATTACATGTCATGTACCTTTTCAAGCTGCTGTGAAAGACAAGACTGCATCACAGAGGTGTCTGCAGGTGCAGATGGGTGTGTGTTCAGACGTTCAGGGTTCCAAGTCTCAAGTGAGCACGGGGCAGTGACAGGTCAGGGCTGTGCTCCTGGAGGAAGGCTCCTAACTTAGGAAGTTAGGGTACATCTCAGGTTCCGTTCATGAAGTAACAGCTGGAAGGGAAGATGCTCCGGAGGTGCTCCTTGTGTCTCACTGCGAGTTATGTGAGACACCCTGCCGAAGAGGGCTGAACTCAGTGGGCTCTCACTCTGCTGGAACAGCAGCCTCTGCTTTTTGGCAGTCGACATTTTTACCCCGTTCCCTGTGGAGTAATCTATCTTTCCAGAAGTTACACATTTCGTTCATTGAACAGTAAAAGCACACGTCACTCAAACACTTTAGAACCATAACTGCTTCTACATGAAGAGGAATATTAACTTTAGCCTATTTCAGACGCGGAATGCTTAGGTTAACATTCCATCGAGCAATCTCCTACCCTTAAAAAATCGCATGTAAAATATTTTAAAGAAATGTTCAATATCATTACATTAAGTATTACATATTATTATTACTAACAGAGTAACGTAAGCATGCAATGAAAGTTAGGTGGTCTTGGGGGCCAGCAGGTGGCCTGTTGGTTGAGATGCTGGACTCCCACATGGCTGTGGTAGTGGGTGTGGTCCGCACCTGGCTGCTGGCTTTCTCTCTCTTTGTATATATACATATGGTGAGCGCACTTCCGCTACAGCAAAAGTATAATAAATAGCAAATATAATAACACAATTAAATAAATAATTCTTTTAAAAAAGTGATTTTAAAACCTCCATGTAAAATTAGCTGTGTGATTTTGGACCAATAACTTTCCCTCTCTGGTTTCATCCATTTGAAAAAGAATTAATAGTTCTTTTAAGTCACTTCTAACATTAACAATCTAGTACCCTGTAATCAAATCTATAAATATTTTCAACTGAAAGCTTTAAACTTGCTGCTGTCAAGTTTAAACTAACTATAATGCATTATGTATAAACCAGATCATTTTCTTTTTGTTGTGTTGGCAAAACTGCAGAACCTGCTTGGGTTGTAGTGATAGGGAGACGGCCAGGCAGAAAGCATTTTCCTGGGGTTTTCTCTTTTAAAATGCCGGACATGAAGCTCAGCCAGCTAATGGGCAGCGTCTGGGGTGTAGAGAGGGGAGATGGCACCCCGAGGACCCGTGGGCTTCCTCCCTGGAGGTGCGGTGAGCTTTAGGCGGAAAGACAGCAGTGACTTGACACCAGAAAACTGCCTTGCCCTCGGGAGGAAGTCCCTGGGTGACGTGGGGATGTGCGTGCAGCTGGTCACTTAGACCCAGGTCACAAAGCCATCAGACTGCGCGTTCCCAGGCCGCGTCTACGTGCCCACTCACACCTGGGCACGAATGAACGGGGCGCATGCTCACACCTGACCCTTGAGATCCCGCGACGCAGGCGCCCCCCTCCCTCGCGGGGCAGCCCGCCCAGTGAGCAGTGGTCAGGACGGAGGCGCGGCAGATGGGGGCGCCGGTCCAGCAGGGAGGCGAGGTGGAGGGAGCCCCTCCGCCCCTCCGGGCATTGTTCGGTTACAAGCCAGGCCCTTCTTCCGCAGAAGCCAATTAGATCCCCGCTGGGGGATCACCTGACCTCGAGTCCCTGGTCGCGAGAGAAGGGGCGCGGAGGGGCTCGGAAGAAGCGGGCTATGGCGGCCGGCTACCGGCGAAGGCCTTGTGGGCGGCGAGGGGCAG